CAACATCACTAATCATTAGAGAAATGCAAATCAAAACTACAATGAGGTATCACCTCACACCGGTCAGAATGGCCATCATCAAAAAATCTACAAACAATAAATGCTGGAGAGGGTGTGGAGAAAAGGGAACCATCTTGCACTGTTGGTGGGAATGTAAATTGATACAGCCGCTATGGAGAACAGTATAGAGGTTCCTTAAAAAACTACAAATAGAACTACCGAACGACCCAGCAATCCCACTCCTGGGCATACACCCTGAGAAAACCATAATTCAAAAAGAGTCATGTACCGCAATGTTCATTGCAGCTCTATTTACAATAGCCAGTACATGGAAGCAACCTAAGTGTCCATGGACAGATGAATGGATAAAGAAGATGTGGCACATATATACAATGGAATATTACTCAGCCATAAAAAGGAATGAAACTGAGTTATTTGTAGTGAGGTGGATGGACCTAGAGACTGTCATACAGAGTGAAGTAAGTCAGAAAGAGAAAAACAAATACCATATGCTAACACACATGTATGGAATCTAAAAAAAAGAAAAAAAAATGGTCAGAAGAACCTAGGAGCAAGACGGGAATAAAGATGCAGAACTACTAGAGAATGGACTTGAGGATACGGGGAGGGGGAAGGGTAAGCTGGGACAAAGTGAGAGAGTGGCACGGACATATATACACTACCAAATGTAAAATAGATAGCTAGTGGGAAGCAGCCACATAGCACAGGGAGATAAACTCCGTGTTTTGTGACCACCTAGAGGGGTGGGATAGGAAGGATGAGAGGGAGGGAGATGCAAGAGGGAAGAGATATGGGGACATATGTATATGTAGAACTGATTTACTTTGTTATAAAGCAGAAACTTACACACCATTGTAAAGCTATTATACTCCAATAAAGATGTTTAAAAAAATACATATATCCACTCTTTTTTACATTCTTTTCCCATATAGGCCATTACGGAGTACTGAGTAGAGTTCCCTGTGCTATGTAGGAGGTCCTTATTAGTTATCTATTTTATACATAGTCTTCAGTGTGTATGTGTGTATGTCTCAATCCCAGTCTTCAGTTTGCATTCTCAAGACTTGACAGAGTTCTCAGGAGGGGCCTCAATACATTTGGAAGGAATGAATCCTCAACTCTGTGAAGAGAAGAAGACAAGCTCAGATGGGTTAATGTTCGCTCAGGGTCAAACACTGCTATGTGTTTGGAACCAGGTCGGAACCCAGACCCTCTGACCTGGAAGTCTGTACTCTTTCCGTAATGACCTCTTTGACTACCGGCGACTGTTTTGATGAAGAATTTTGAACTGTTTGGACGTGACCTGAAAACAAAATTCCCCCAGGTGGCAGGTGCAGCGACCCCATGCTGGATGCCGGGGAACAGCTCCACTGCGTCCCTGGTCCCTGCTCTGCAGTGTGGTCCCACTGCTTCACCCTCGAACCCACATGTTCAGTGAGGGTCCTGAGAGGTTGCACTGTGTAACATGGTGCATACACAGGCCCTAGAAAGGATTGGGGACCATTTAGTAACTTTTGCTACGTAGGCCTGGGTCTGGGCAAATTAGAAAAGAGAGTAGGAATTACGAGGACTCCCTCCCTCCCCTGCCTCAGTCTTGGTTCAAATGTGCCCGCCTTAGTGAGGTTGTCTCTGGCCGCCCTACTGCTCCTGGGCGTCCTTTACTCCCATCTCCACTTTATTCTCCTCTCCAGCACTTACCACCATCTAATTAGTAAGTCACTTTGCTGAAGATACTTCCCTTGTTTACTGTCAGTTCTTTCCACTAGAATGTAAGTTCAGCGAGGGCAGCAACTTGTTTCATTCTCTGTGCCGAGAGCAGTGCCTGAGACATAGTAGGTGCTTAGTAAATTTGGACTGAACTGTGTTTGTCACACTAGCAATCATATTTCAAAAGGCACCCATAAGTCACAGCACACCTATAGTAACAGTAACGAGTAAGAGGATGCCTCCCTCCTGCCTGGATGGTGAGAACATCTGTTGGATTCTATTTCAGCTGCTATCACAGTGTCTTATTCCATTTGGGCTGCCATCACAAAATGCTGTACACTAGGTGGCTCAGATACAATAGAAATTCATTTCTCACAGTTCTGGGAGAATAAGCTTTCTCTGGCCTCTTTCAAAAGGGCACTCATTCCATAAATCACCTCCCAAGGTCTCACCTCCGAATATCATCACCTTGGGGGTTGGGATTTCAAGGTATGAATTTTGGGGGGACACATTCAGACCACAGCACTCAGGAAGGGTGTTCTGACTTACTGCCCGACACCTGGGAACAAAAAGCAAGCTGGTGGTGGAGACTTGTGTTTTCTTCATAAGGAAAGCCTGATTCTAAGTGACTCTTGGCACCCGGGCAGACCTTCTACCCGTATAGCTGGTCCTGCCCCTCTGCTTAGATTCCAGCGGTGTCTTAGAAAGACTTCCATGAAAAAGTTACAAAAATACAATTTCAAGTACTTGAAGTGCTAACATTGTATTATGCAGATAATTGAATTTCTTTAACATTCTGGAGAGTTGAAAACTTTTTTGTACTTTTAATGTTTCCTGGATCAAACATTCTCTGGGCAGGGCAGGGACACCGAATGTCATGTAAGCACTCTACTGAGGCTGGTGGTCTGGGCTATACCTTTAATTTCAAGATTAGGAAAATTAGGAAGGTGGCTGAGTGGATTTTAAGTTATTTTCTAAATCTGCATGAATCAGCAAGTCTGTGGAGAATGGAATTTGGGGGGTTTTGTATTCCCCATGGGGACCAGTCTGTGATGTCTTGTGGGTGATATGGTTTAGTGGACACATGCACATCTCAGAAGTCAGTATGGAAAAAGGAAAAGGAAAAGGAAAAGGGGGAAGGCAGAAGTGTCCCTGACTCCTGCTGGGTTTCTTTTCCATTGGGCCGAGCACAGGACTCCCCTGGATGTTCTCTCCACCCAACAGACACGCGAATCAGAGTTCCCCATCGATTCTGGGGTAATTTTATGGAGGGAGAGGTAGGATCTGATGCTCCAGTTACAGCCCCTCCTCTCTGTCCCCATCTTGTTTCTGGCAGCCACAAGGGGTTAGTATTTCCAGGAAAAGCAAGATGCCTTCTAGCAGGAGAGAGAGGAAACAAAGGAGAGAGAGGAAGAAAGACAGAATGGGGACCAGGTAGACCTAGAGGAGGGAGGGCAAAGTGATGAAGGAGGGGGAGGGGACAGGCAGCCAGAAGATGCCGTGGGAGCAAGAGGAAAGGCTGAGGGTGGGAACCCAGAGGAGCAGACCCTGAGATGCACCACCAGCCACTCCCATGCGTAATTCTTTACATTTTTCAACCATTTTCGTGCCTATGATCTCACTTTGCATGTCACAGCCACTCTGTGTAGGTAAAAGGCACATTTTTTTTTCTACTTCACTGATGAGAAAACTGAGGCATGAAAAGCCCTAGTGATTTGCTCAAGGTCACAACATTCTAACTGAATCCCCATGCAGAATAGGCTATTTATATCATACAGCAAAATTCAGTCATTGCTTTCCTGGTCTTTCCATTTTTAAGCCAATAACCTGAACGGTCTATTAGGAAGTGAAGATATTTTCCTTTCTTTTATACTTGAACCCTTGAAACAAGTACTTCAGAATTTTAATGTGACTACAATTTCTCTAAATTTCATTGTTCATGTCAAAGCGTTTGACTAAAATATAGCAAAACTACTGTTCCTTTCAAGGGGGTCAAAATGTTTTCTGTGGGTGGAAACGTGTCCTGTGCATGAAGATGAAAGCATCTTTGTTGTACTCTTCCTTAGGGACTCTTTCTAGGGTTATTACTAAAGTCAAGAATAGATCAGAAATGGAGAAAAGGTAGGATATCAAGAATAGCTTTCATGGAAAATTGAAATCATTCCTTTTAAAGTTCACAAATTCCACTCTGAGGATAGACCCCCAGCCTTGCAGGATGGGCTCTTCCCAGATAGAAAGGTGGCAGCCACGAGAGGATTTTGATGCAACTGTGATTGATGTCAGCAGGTCCAGACGGTGATATTTTATGACAAATTTAATGGACATTTGTTAAGCTGATTCAACGGCACCAGCCCTGGGCTCGATGGGGCTGGGAGATACAAAAGGAGGACATCATCTATGAAGGTCTTTGGGGCCAGTTAGGGATGGAAATGCCACTGATTCGAGTTTTGCACACCCTCTGCATGCTAGGTGCTCTTAACACCATCATTTCATGTCTGTCTCCCACAAACCCCACTGCAAGACAAGGCTATCGGGAGATTCAGTGACTCCTGGTGACCAGGTGGCTGCCTCCAGTTTTGCATCCAGGTCCTTTGTCTCTGAGTGAAGGGCTCTCGTCACTAAGCCAGACAGGAAGCAGCTACAGAATGACTGTGTCACAGCCTAACGCTGGGACACGCATCCCAGGTGCAGATTCCTGCTGGCACCCATGGTATAGGAATTCAGAGTTGAGGACAAGATCCTTCGGGGCTCGAGTTATGGTGGATTATGCTTCACAGAAGAGACGAAGTATGGACATTTTAGCGCTGCTTTAAGCAGTGAAGAAGTGGGTGTGGAAATGTTTTCAGGGAGGAAACGCCTTTTTAATAGAGACTTGGCTGGTTAACAGAACTTTTCTTTCTTGGGATGAACGTCATCGCTTCTCTTATATCCTGAAGCATCAGCTCTCCTGGTGGAGACACGTGAGCACTGCCAAGGGCCTGGAATGTCCCAAGAGGGTAAGAATAGCCACGATGAGAGACGGCTGCTTCTGGCCTCTGGTCACTGCAGTTGTCAGGAAGGCTTTGCCTCACACAGCTCGGGACTGTCTCAACTAGAGACAGAAGAACGACCTTGTGTTCCTGGGCTTGAATCTTCCCTTTAGTATCTCCAGCTCTCACCTGGGAGTCTTTTGTAGCTAAGATACATTTTTTCCTGCAAAGATTTCCCACCTCCTTGGAGAACACAGGCTCCGGAAGTCTCCAGCCACCTTGAGTCTGTGACCCCCTGAAAGCATGGACCAGCTGGACCTGCTGGGGTTCCTCGTCATCACCCTAAACTGCAACGTGACCATGGTGGGTGAGTAGCGCCAACCCCTGCAGAACACTGGTTCTGCCTTGGGTCACTTTTCCTGGCCCTCCCCCATGAGTAAGGCCTGCCTATCCCTGGAGGACAGGGAACCAGGGCTCAAGCTTTCCTCTAATTCTCCATTATTTAAGGAGGCTCCCCCATCCTTTAAGGATGTCTTGGGAGTGAGCAATGTTTCTCTCAAGGGGAGTCTTTTTGCTGACATTTGGGGGCTGAGCAGATGGGAGGGGTATTTTTATGTAACTCTTCTCTGGCTACGTTACCAGGAAAAGGAACAATACAGTCAAAGTTAGAGAAATTCATGCCTTGAATAAGCTTTCTTGTTCATCTTTTTAGGGTTTATCCTTGAAGCTCCATTTGTAAAGATTAGTAAGTTCTCTGTGCACTTTAAACCAAATCCCAATTTTAGTTTAGTTTTTATTTTTTTGACAAAGAAAGTAATACGTTTTCTGAGTTTGGTGTAGCCGAGTTAAATTTTCAGAGAGGTATGGGTGTCCTAGTAAAGGGGATTGAGAAAAGGATTAAAATATGTCTGTGAAGTGGTTGATATTTTCTTCATTGCTTTTTAGTCGAAGCCAACTTGGTTTTAAAAGTTTGAGTTAATGACTTTATCACGTAATGGTCACACAGTCCTTGAGTTGAACTACCTTCGTTTATAGGAGAGTTTAGTTTTTCTGATGTCAGGTGATGATTTCTGTATGTCATCACAAAACAGAATATTTACAAATTATTTTGACTGGGTCTTCAACACACTCCAAAATAGTTGACTCATGAAATGAAAATAGGACTTGGAAGTTATTTTGATTTCTATGTTAGCCTAATTTATTCATGATAAATTGAAGAAAGACAAACTTCAATTCATAATAGCTGGAATAGGGGGGAAGGAGTTCTGAATTACTGAAGAGTCTAAAAAACTGTTCTTCAAGAAATTCGATTTCAAGGGCTTCAGAGCAACATGAAAGGGCTACAGAGCCCACTGATTACATAAAGGTCGTGTGGACTCTTAACCATAGAGAAAACTCACTGAAATTAGTAGCTTGTATTTGCTATACACAGTTACAGGAATGCACTAACATCCTTGAAAAAGTTCACTCTTTTTAAGAGGAAGACTTTATTTACATCCGCCCAATTTTCTTTCTAGAACTTTCAGCCCAAACTCTGAACTCGCCAAACTAGATTAAACATTTTAGTATTCATGCTTCTTTAAATCTGCCAATTTCAAAGCATTCTACAAACACGTACAGGCATACCTCGTTCTATGGTGCTTCTCAGATACTGCTTTTTTTTTTTTTAACAGTTGAAGGTTTGTGGCAACCCTGCCTCAAGCAAGTCTATTGGCGCCATTTTTCCTACAGCATTTGCTCACTTCATGTCTGTGTGTCACATTTTGGTAATTCTCACAATATTTCCAACTTTTTCATTGTTATTATATTTATTCTGATGAGCTGTGATCAGTGATCTTTGATGTTACTACCACCAGTGGCTGAAGGCTCAGAGGATGGTTAGCAATTTTTAGCAACGAAGTACTTTTTACTTAAGGTATGTGCATTGTTTTTTATCATGCTATTGCACGCTTAATAGACCAAGGTATAGTGGAAACACAGCTTTTATATGCACTGGGAAACCAAAAGATCCGTGTGACTCGCTTTTTGGGGGGTGGTCTGGACCTGAACCCGCAGTATCTCCGAGGTGTGCCTAGTTGAACACACTGTCTGACACCTTGTAAGTGCTCATTAGACATTCGTCCGATGAGCTGACAGGCTGATACTGTTGCTGTGACTTACACACTTAGTTCTCCAGGCTCAGCACCAGTAAAGATTTAAAGCTGCTGCTGGGAGGAGGAGATGTGTTTGTCTGGCTGTGATGGCGCCCTTCCTGTTGCCTCTTTCCAGGGAAGATCTGGCTTATCTTCATGGTGCTGCTGAGGATGGGGGTGCTCATCCTGGCCGGGTCGCCGGTCTACCAGGATGAGCAGGAGAGGTTCGTGTGCAATACTCTGCAGCCCGGATGCGCCAACGTTTGCTATGACATCTTCGCCCCCGTGTCCCACCTGCGGTTCTGGCTGATCCAGAGCGTGTCTGTTCTGCTTCCATCCGCCGTCTTCAGTGTCTACGTGCTGCACAAAGGAGCCGAGCTGGCGGCACGTGGATCCCGCTGGCTGGATGATGACTCGGAGGACCACGACGGCCCTGAACTGACCCCGGGGGCCAGGCGCTGCCTGACGGTGCCGGACTTCTCCTCGGGCTACGTGGTCCACCTCTGCCTCCGGACCCTGACGGAGGCAGCTTTCGGTGCCCTGCATTACCTCCTCTTCGGATTCTTGGTCCCCAAGAGATTCTCGTGCACGCACCCTCCTTGCACCAGCGTGGTGGACTGTTACGTCTCTCGGCCCACGGAGAAGTCCATCCTGATGCTTTTCGTGTGGGCGGTCTGCGCGCTGTCCTTGTTGCTCAGTGTCGCCGACCTGGTCTGCAGCGTGCGCTGGGAGACGCGCAGGCGACACGGCGGGGCCCGGAGGAGACCGTGTCAAGGGGCGGGGAGTGCGGCGCGGGAGGGACACGGGGATCCCGAGGGACGTGGGGCGCGCGCTCGCCGGGGCCTGCGGACTGGAGGGCAGGGCGCGTACAGCCCCGCAGCGGAGCCCACCGAGCCGGGGCACCCGGATCTGCCAGGGGAGGACGAGAGCGACGCGCTGTCCTCAGCCAGCGACCAGCCGCGCGGGGCCGGGCCGGGAGTGGCGGCCCCGGGGTGGGAGGAGCGCCCCTGCGCGCCAAGCGCCGCGCTCCCGGGCCCCAGCAAGTCCGAGTGGGTATGAGCGGCCGGCGTCCCGCCCCGGGAGCGCGGCAACCAGGACCGAGAACATCGACCTGCAGAAAGGTGAGCTGGCGGGACAGACCGACTTCCTGAGAGGCTCCGGTGCAGCGCAGCAGGGATTTAATTTAGATGAAGCCTTCTGGGGAACCCTGCACTTGGTGTGCAAATGCGGATGGAAGCTCCAAGGATTAACCGGCGAGCGTCAGGTCCATGAGTTTGTCGCACTGTAGTTCTATTGTCTTATTTTACCGCAGTATGGGCTTGAAAAGCACGTTCTTTGGATTTACAGAGCTTATGAATATTTTAATGTTTTCGGGTGGATTATTTTGACGGTTTGTTGTTGTTTGTTTTGGTTTGTTTTTCTGCTTAGCCAAAAGGGGCATCTGTTATGCACATCGTCCATAGAGGGATATTAGTTTAACTTCTCCAAACCCCTTTAATAAAATGAATGCTGATTGCGTTGCCATATCACACTTCCTACTTCACTGTGTTAAAGGAGAAACCACACATGCAGGAAATATGACTTAAAACTTTGGGGTCTTTTGGGGGTCGTCTTGGGTTCTTATTGCACGTGGGTGTGAGGTGCACAGGACGAAGGGGGGCGCTGGCTTGCTTTAGTGTCGATGGGCTGTTGGCTGGGTGGCTGTCCTCACTGAGCAGAGGGGGGCACTCTGGCTGCTGACAGGCCTAGAGTTGCCACACGGCTTCCAGTCCCGGCTCTGTGTCCTTGAGACAGTCATACAGTTAGGGCTACTCTGAGGGTCTTCATGTCCCAGGGAAGCAGATGAGGAATGCTGCAGGTGTTCCAGCCTTGTGGTCTGTGCTGATGCTCCGGGGGTGGGGGGGTTATCCTAGAGACACAACAGTCTCACCTCTCAGGGGAGCCCCTCTGCTCTCCTCCGCTCGCCCTGGTTGCGGTCCAGGTGCTGTCCAGTTGGAGTGTGAGTCTGTTAGAGCTTCCGTGCTGCCTTCAGCTGCCACGCGGAAGACACAGTGCAGCAGAAAGACGGGGTAAGCCTGCTCCTCTTACGGCAAGGAAGAGCCACTGGGTGGCCCCCCAGAACGGATGAAGAACCTCTGGTCCCCAAACCCCCAACGCTGAGGAAGAGGAACTGCCCTCCATGCCAGCAAATAGTAAAAACGAAAGTGAACCAAGGCACCCAGGGAACCAGTGGGCACTTTTAACTGTTCTAAAGATGACTTTGACAGTGAAATATCAGCCGGGATGGGGAATGACATCCTCCTTAATCTATCTAGAGTGTCAAAGCCATTGGTTAAAACTTTAAAAAAATCATCCAAAATTGGTTTTGGCATAAAGCTCTTTGAATGAATGTACCTGGTTTTTGTGTTTTATTGCGGTACGCGGGCCTCTCACCGTTGTGGCCTCTCCCGTTGCGGAGCACAGGCTCCGGACGCGCAGGCTCAGCGGCCATGGCTCACGGTCCCAGTCGCTCCGCGACACGTGGGATCCTCCCGGACCGGGGCACGAACCTGTGTCCCCTGCATCAGCAGGCAGACTCTCAACCACTGCGCCACCAGGGAAGCCCTGGCAGGTGGATTCTTAACCACTGCGCCACCAGGGAAGCCCAAATGTACCTGCTTTTAACCCCTGCAGTAAATCTCTCTCCCACTCTCTTGTCTCTCTCTCAATTGCTCCTCCATCCGTCGATAACCGCGAACCATGACCCAGACCCCTTCCTTCAGTATTTGGATTGGCGTCTGGCACATAGCAAGTGCTCAGTAAGTGTGATTTTTGTGCCTGATATTCCTGAAGTATTCAGGGCCAAATCTGGTTCTTGTCCCTTTCAGCATGCATTTCTGATGGAGTTCCAAGGTTGGCCACAGTCTTAAAGACATAAGAATTCTCTAGGGCCTTCATTGCTATTTAAAAAATAAGTTCCGTATGCCCCTCAGTACCCCGATGTGAGCCTTGATAATGTTGAGTGAAGAAAGGAAATCAGATTAACAAATATTGGTAGGTGTGCCCACGCAGGGCTCCCAGATGACAGCTAGGAAAGGAAGGTGGTGAAGGCTGAGTGGGAACTCCCTCCCAGCCATGGCCCCAGAGAAAACTGGGCCCTGTTCTATGAGTCTTATGAGTCCATGCTTGGATTTGGGTTTACAGATGGTGCCTGTGTGTGTGTGGCACTGGGAAGGGCTGCTTTGGCTTCTCTGCTGGTGTCCCAAATCCCACTATCAGAGGATCAGAGCCTTGAAGTTTTTTCCATGGAAAACTGTAAAATCCATTCAGAGTGATGGAGGCCAGGAGAGGGGGAGAGGTGTGGAATCAAGGATAAGACATGTGGGTTCTGTCCCCATGTGCATCATTTCTTGGCAGGTCACTCCCTTCCTTTGGGCCTCAGTTTCCTTCTCTAAGGGATAAGGGCCTGGACTAGATGATTCCTTCGTGTTCTTACATGGTTAGGAATCCACCAGTGATGGGTGTCCTTTTAACCTCAATAGGGACTGGTTTATCAGGCCTGTCCATCCTCTACCTGCCTGAGCACAGGTTTCCATAAATGAAAATGGTCAGAACAGGAGAGACCTGCATGTCCCAGGGAGAGCTGCCATGGAAGAGAGATGCAGACCTCATGAAAGGGGGCGATGAGGACGACTCACCAGCTCCCCACTCTGCTGAGAGATGGCAGAGGCTGCGTGGACAGACGTGGGGTCATCTGCTGTGACCCCTCACTGTGAGAGCAAGGCTGCAGAAGAGGATTCAAGCATTCTGGAGCGTGGTTGGCAGTGTTGGTGTGATGGTGGCCACCTTGTCAGAACACACACAGGGGGTGACCCTCCTCTTCTCTTTGCTCTCACAGGCCACTGTACATCTCCCCTGGTTCAGAACTTAGGTTTTGAAGCCTTTGAAGATCTTTTCTTTCTTTTTTAAAAATAATAATTTATTTATTTATTTTTGGCTGCGTTGGGTCTTCGTTGCTGTGCGCGGGCTTTCTCTAGTTGCGGGGAGCCAGGGCTACTCTTCGTTGTGGTGCGCGGGCTTCTCACTGTGGTGGCTTCTCTTGTTGCGGAGCACGGGCTCTAGTCGCGGGGGCTTCAGTAGTTGTGGCGCACGGGCTTAGTTGCTCCGTGGCATGTGGGATCTTCCTGGCCCAGGGCTCAAACATGTGTCCCCTGCATTGGCAGGCGGATTCTTAGACACTGCGCCACCAGGGAAGTCCTGAAGATCTTTTCTAGTCATCTAAGGGGAGGGGAAAAAAATCTCAGACTGTATCCAAAAGGTAAAAAACGGCGAAAATCGTGTGGCTATCATCCTCCTTTCCAAGATTTTAGTCTTCCTCTCTGCATCTTTGGCACGCTGGGTGAGTGCAGGATGGTTCACAGGCTTGTGTTCCTCCCACAGAGTGTTATTGAGTCACCCAGTGCCCAAGGTAGAGGCAGCAGGAGGTAAGGTAATTGTAGCTGCTGCAACAGGTCACCCCAATCTTAAACATTTAACACAGAAGTTTCATAAAGTAGAGAGCCAAGTTTTCTGATTGATGGGCAGCTTTCCTCTGTGTGGTGACTCAGGGGTCCTTCCATCCTAGGCTCTACCATCTTCCGTCTGCTGTGGAAGAGACCAGACTGGTTCCAAGGCCAGGTCTGGAAAGGGCACAGGGCACACCTGGCTAGAACTCGGTCCTGACTGCTTGGAAGGCTGTGAAGGGTGGCCTAGTTATACAGCTGGCCCCTGCATCCGTGGATGGATCGAATTCAACCAACCATGGATCTAAAATTTTTTTTTAAATTCCAGAAAGTTCCAAAAAGCAACACCTGAATTTGCTGCATGCAAACTATTTACATAGCATTTACATTGTATTTACAATTATTTACATAGCATTCATATCGTATTCGGAGTTATAAGTCATCTAGAGATGATTTAAAGCGTAAGGGAGGATGTGCTTAGGTTATATGCGAATACTAGGCCATTTCATGTACGAGACTGGAGCACCTTCGGATTTTGGAACCAATTCCCAGCGGATAGTGAGGGATGACTGTCCGGGAAGGAGGAGGAAAAGTTGGGGCCAACAGCTGTCCAGTGTTCACCTCAGGCAGCACCCACGCCCTGCCCTGTGGGAGGTACCTGCCCTGTGGGAGGGATTTAATGCATTCTCAGTGGCCAACGAACCAGTCTCAGGAGGGAAGCTAAGCGAGGACGTTAGCTCGGGTCCCTGCACAGGCTTCACTGGGCCCACAGAGAGGAGAAAGGAGGTGACGAGGTTGAAGAGAACTCACAGAAAAGGGCCTGGAACCCAAATCTCTTGTACCGCCGTCTTAGATATGTGTGTTTCGGACGGATCTTAGTGGGTGTAAGTGCACAGCGATGGTCTTTGCTCAGTATGAATGGCTCGTTAGATGCTGTCTAAGTCTAGCTTTCTAGGTTAGCTTTCCAGAAATCTTCCCAGTTGCTGTCCTGGCCGCGATGAGCACCAGCTGGTGGAGCCCAGGTCTGAACCACCATGCCTGACCCTGGCTGCCCCGAGACAGATGCGCAAGAGAGAGCTCAGTGAGATGATGCGCACTCGGCCGAGAGAGGGATTATTTACGGAAAAAGTAAACGCGACTCTTCTTTTGTAGGATGCTAAAATCCACTGCGAGAACCACTGCGAATTTTCTGAGTGTGAATCTGGTTTCTGGCAGGAAGTGAGGAGGCCGGTGTTTTGCAGTGAAGGCTTGTCCGGGGTCGCCCCCTGCTGTGGAGACGCCGCCACCACTAATTCGGCATCCCAACTGCAGGACCCGGCTGGCAGCCGAGCCCCTGAGCCCTGCCAGCTGTGTTTTGGTTGTTCTGTGGGAGAAATGTTTCCTAGAAAGCAAACAGATGTCTCTCCCACACACACACACATTGGAAATAGATGAATGTATATTTTTCCTCCCTCTTGTCCATCATAGGGTGATGGACGACTTTCCTCAGGCAGCTTTCTCCTCTGCGCTGTGACCCAAGAGAGAGATGTGAGTGGCAGAAAATCGAGCCGAAAGAAGTGACTAAGTTTTCTCAGAAGC